GGGAGCGAGGGGGGGGGGGGGGAGCGGGGTGCAGCGCCTCTGAGGCTTTGCTCTGGCCGCTGCAGCTTTGCTCCTGGTGTCCCTGGTCTGCTGGAGACGGGCGGTCCCACTGCCTGCGAGTTCCGGGGTGAGAAAGTCCCATTCGTAAGTGCGGATCCGCCATAAGTCGGATCCGCGTAACTCGGGGACTGCCTGTATACTGGGTGAGCAGACTGCTGATGGGGGGCAACTGCCCCAGGGCCCAGTCATTCAAAAGGGGCTGGGCTCCCTGCTGTCCCTGCTGCTACTGTGGCAGTGTTAGTTGCCAGAGCCAATACTAGGGGGCTGTGTCTACACTGGGCCACTTATTCTGGAAAAGCAGACGCTTTTCCGGAATAACTTGCCAGCTGTCTACACTGGCCGCTTGCTTTTCTGGAGAAGCAATGACAATCTACTGTAAAATTGTCAGTGTTTTTCCGGAAAAACTATGCTGCCCCTGTTCGGGCAAAAGTCCTTTTCCGGAAAAACAGTTCCGGAAAAGGGCCAGTGTAGACAGCACAGTAGTCTTTTCCGCAAAAAAGCCCCGATCGCGAAAATGACAATCGGGGCTCTTTTCCGGAAAAGTGCGTCTACATTGGCCACGGATGCTTTTCCGGAAAAAGTGCTTTTCCAGAAAAGCATCCCAAGACACAGAGCAAGGGAGAATGCATAGACCAGCAGACACTAGTAGTTGTAAATTCTCTGATTCTGGATCTATGGTGCACTAGAGATGTTGGGATGTTAAATCTCGGTTAATTGATTAACCTCATGAATTCGTATCAGCTACTCGACTATTCTATAGTGGCTGGGGGGGGGGCCACCCTGCCACCCTGTCACTCCGTGCTACTGCGTCTGTATCAGAGCCAGGGTGTCAAGTGGGAGCTGGTCCATGAAGGGAGCCAGTTTAAAAAAACAGCTCCCCTTGTGGCCTGCCTGCCTGTTGCCCCGTGCTGCTGCCCCTGTCCAGAGGAGGTCTGAACTCTTAGTCCTGGCACAAGTCAGGACTGAGCTGGGCTGCCTGCCTGCCTGGCTCCCAATAACCTTTAAATGCAGAGCCGCAGTGGGGGAGGTCCTGGACCCATCACAAGCCAGGACTGAGCCAGGCTGCTGGCCAGCCTGCTAAAAAATGTACAGGTGGGGGGAGGGAGGAAATGTGTGTAGTCTCTAGCATTAACCTATAAGCTTTTGATTGTCAGTTAATGGACTACAGTATGACATCCCTAGCTAATACTGCTCTGCTCACTGCCAGAGCTCTGGAAGTCGTCGCCAGAGCCCTGTGCAGCATGCTGAGAGCAGCCTGAGGGAGGCTAGCTCTAGCCCTGCCCCTTCTGCCTGAAGCCCCGCCCCTTCAGGGGTGCAGAGCCACTCTTCCAGCTTTGCCCAGGCTGCTGAGCCTGTCAGCACCCCTGAGGTGATCTAAACAATGGCTCTGTGGGCAGCCATTCCTCGGGGGCTGCTATGCCTGCCTAGGCCTAACCACTCTGGGCTGTGAGGGCCATGCTGCAAGTGAGCAGGAGCGGTGGTGTGCACTGCTCCAGCGTTGGTCGCTGCATCTCAGTGGGTGGAAGGGAGAAGCTCTACCCACCATGCACCCTGCCCACATGGGTGCTCTGTGGGGCACAAGGCATTGGCAGCAGAGCTGGCATGTTCCTTCCCTGCACTCTCTGGCAGACATTCGCCCAGTGCAAGTGACCTGCCCAAGGCCTTGACCCCTTTGGGTCTCAGGGTTGCCAGCCCTCCAGGTGTGTCCTGGAGTCCCCAGGAATTAAAGATTAATCTGCAATGAAAGATGATGTCATGGGAAGAAACCTCTGGGAATCCATCCCAGCACAGTCGGCAGCTCTACAAAGTTGTGTCCCATTGACACTTTCAAAGTAGGATTTAGGTCAATGGTGCCCATCCTCTCTCACTCGCTGGTACCAGCAATGGGATGTGTCCATGCTTCCCTGGGCAGGTGCTGAGATACAGCCAGCCTGGGGGCTGTGATCGGAGGGGCAGGGCCAAGAACTGGCAGTTGAGCCACAGAGCTGATGGGAGAGCGTTCTGGGTGCCCCCTCCACATGTTCCTCCACACACTCATAGGAGGGTGTGCCCCTCAGGTTGGGGATGATTCTTTTAAGTGCTTGTTCTGACCCTCTGCACAGGGGGCCCAATATTGGATGCATCAGATCAGTAATTGTCAGCATGTCTCTCGCACCACTGACTCTACCGCTGTACTCAGCAGGCGGAAAGCAAGCCCCAGACCAGCAGCACCATGACCTGCTCCTACAGTGCAGGGCTCTTCCCATGTGGAAGCTGCCAGCCATGGGGTGCTAGCACTAAATCTAACACAGGGACCAAAGCCTTCTGGGCTTCTGCACTGGCCACTGGTGACGCTTCTCCCTCCATCCTAGATACCACCTGCCCAGCCAAGAATTACTTTGACTTCTGTGGCCCTGCCTGCCCTGCCACTTGTGCCAACCTCAGTGCTCCCCTGCTCTGCACAAAGCCCTGTGTGGCAGGATGCTTCTGCCGGGAAGGGTATGTTCTGGATGAGGAACGCTGCGTGCCTGTGAGTCAGTGCGGCTGCACGCTGGAGGGGCGGTATCACCAGCTGGGAGAGGAGGTGATCTTGACAGACACCTGCAGCAGGAAATGCAGCTGCCGCCAGCCAGCCCAGCCCAAGCAGTGCCAGGATCATGCCTGCGGGGCTCTGGAGACGTGCAGAGTTGTGGATGGCGTCCGAGGTTGCTCCCCTGTGACGTTTGGCACCTGCAGGGTGTTTGGCCACATCCACTACACCACGTTCGACGGAGTCATGTTTGATTACCAAGGAGCCTGCAAATACACCCTGAGCAAGTTCTGTGGGCCCCCCGGGAGCCTCCCGGACTTCACCGTCAGAGCAGAGAATGAGCACAGGGGATCCATCGCGGTGTCCCGGACGCGCCTGGTGGAGCTGGATGTCTACGGGGAGCGTGTCACTATAGCCACGGGACAGTATGGCCAGGTGCAGGTGAGAGCATTTCCCAGATTTGCAGCAATGTATCTCCTCTGTGCTGAACAGAGATGGGGAGGAAAAATAGTTCCAGGGAACTCACGACAGGAAGAAGCCTGAAATATGCTCCTCTTCCATTTAAATGGTGAAGAACCTGTTGCCAAGGTAAGTCAGAGACTGGGGCTTGCTGTAAACATTGTCTTCGGAGCCTCACTTGGAAGGACCAACTGCCCAAGCTGGCCACATCTGCAGTTTGCAAAGAGGATGGAAAATGGCAGAAAATTAAACACCCTAAACTTACAGACCAACCCTAGGGCACAGATGTGATGTGATGTGAAATAGCTAGGGCTGGGGGCTGCCTGTGGGCATGACACTGAATGCATCAGGCTTGGGGAGAGTGGATTAATGCACACATTTGTCTCGCTTTTCCCCCAGGTGAATGGATCCCTGGTCAATCTGCCTCTGGTCCTCGCATCAGGTAAACTCTATGCCTATTTCAGTGGCTCGGCCGCTGTGCTCCAGACAGATTTTGGCCTCTCCGTATCCTATGACTGGTCCCACTCCGTGTCGGTTTCTGTTTCTGAGATCTACTTTGGGTCACTGTGTGGACTTGGTGGGGATTTCAACAGAAACCGAAGTGATGATTTCCAGACCCCACACGGCTCTCTGGTTGCTGATGCTGTCACCTTTGGCAACAGCTGGCGGGATGCCGATTCCCCTTTTCACTGCACGGCCGTCGGGCTCCCAACCTCGTGTGACCAGGTCGAACTCGCCCAGTACAGATCGCAGAGCTACTGCGGGATCATCACAGACCCTGCTGGGCCTTTTCAAGGGTGTGACACGCCGGCTGATGCTCAGGCCCACTTGGAGAGCTGCGTGCGGGATGTGTGTGCCACTCGGGGCAGCCGCCAGACCCTGTGCCAAGTGCTCCGCAGTTATGCCCAGCAGTGCCAAAGTGGTAGCATTGCCGTTGAGCCTTGGAGACAGCGGGCTGCGTGCGGTAAGCAGGAGATTCCAAATACTGGGAAAGTCTTTGTTGGCTGCACCACCCAGATCTCTCTCCTTGACGTGCCCACTCCAACCGTGCGCTGGGCTGTAGTGGCCATCACTGTTCTTATCTCCTCCATTTTTATTCCTGCCTGGGAGGATTCCTTGCACCGTCCCTTCTGTATTTCTAACCATGGTTCTTCATGTCCCTTTCAGAGTTAATCTGCCCCCCCAACAGCCACTATGAGCTCTGTGGACCTTCCTGCCCGGCCTCTTGTGCCCACCCAGCTGTGCCCTCCCGCTGCCGGACTGCATGCCAAGAAGGGTGCCAGTGTGACCCTGGCTTTGTGCTGAGTGGCACTGACTGCGTGCCTCGGGAGCAGTGCGGCTGCACCCACAATGGCAGATATCACCTGGCGGGGGAAAGCTTCTGGGAAGGAGAAAATTGCCAGAGATTGTGCAGGTGCAATGGCTCCTCCCACGCTGTCCAGTGCTCCAGCGCTGCCTGTGCTCCCGGGGAATCCTGTGGCACTCGCCGGGGGGTTTATGGCTGCCACGAGAGAACCAACGGCATCTGCTGGGCGTCTGGGCTGCCCCACTACACTACGTTTGACGGCAAGCGCTACGACTTCCAGGGCACCTGCAGATATGTCTTTGCTGAACTGTGTGCGGCATCAAAGTCCTTGCCCTTCTTCAGAGTGGAAGTGAAGAATGAAAACCTGCCCCATGTCCCTGTGGCTGTGACGTCGGAGGTGTTTGTCCTTGTGAGCGGAGTTGAGATCCACCTGCAGAGGGGTCAGCATGGGACAGTCCAGGTAATTCCCTGGGGCTAGTGAACTCTGGGAATCACTATCTGAGGGAATATAACCAGCACTCAGAACTGCCTGAAACACTCAGTCTGTGTCTACATTTCATGCTTCTTGCACAAGAACAGCCATTCTTGCACAAAATTTTGCTGGCTGTCTACACGGCACGCGTGTTCTTGAGCAAGTAAATTTACAGTACAGCGTCGGAAAACAGGGCTTCTTCCAGAAGAGTTATTCCTCTCCCCACGAGGAATAAGCCCTCTTGCGCAAGAACTCTTCCACAGGAAGGCAGTGTAGACAAGCTACTTGAATTTCCTGTGCAAACCCCTATGGTTAAAATGCCCATCAGAGCTTTCTTGCAGAAGAGAGCGTCCGCACTGCCATGGTTTGCAAAAGCACCTCTTCCACAAAAGCACATGGCAGTGTGGACGCACTCTTGTGGAAGACCTTTTGCACAAGAACTCGTGCACAAAACAGTTTTTGCTCAAAAAGCCTGCAGTGTAGACGTAGCCTCAGAGTTCAGGCCGTGACCAAGCTAGCAAGCACACAGAAGCAGACCTTTGCTGATGCAGCTGCTCTGTGCCGACAGGAGTGCTCTCCATGGAACGCTATGGAAATAGTTAAAGCATCCCCAAGAGGTGGTGATAACTTTGTGGGCATGAGAAGCTCTCCCACCGACAGGCTGCCGTGCAACCAGCCTGTCAGTCTAACTTACCTCATCAGAGAGGAATTTTTGTTGCACCCTTGAGTGTGAGCAATTTTTCCAACATCCGCGGTAGTGCAGACATAGCCTCAGTCCAGTATTCCACACCTTGCTCTGCCCACAGGGGCCCACTGGGCAAGATTTGAGCTGAAATAGTTGTTACTCAATCAAGAGGAATGAAACCCCTAGGAATGTCCCTTTTATAAACAATCCTTTCAGCCTAGATTTGAGCACAGGGAGTGCCAAGGCAGCTGAAGGTAGAAGTGACATTGACCTGGCCACTAGCCACCCCTGAGAATTGTCTGGGATGGGAGTGATGAAATCAGCTCTTTAGGAGTCTGACTTAGAGGCTTCAGAAAGGGCAGCTCCCCCCAGGTGGCCCCGTTTCTGCCGTTTGAGCCACGCCCCAAGCCAAGGAGAGTTGTATTGTGCATGGCTCTGAGCTCTAGGGGGTTCAGAGTGCAGAAGCTAAGCCACTGCACATCGGTCAAGGTGCATGTGCCTGCTACGGCGAAATGGATGGATTGTACAGTGTCTTCAGGCAACATCAGACAGCCGAGCTCAGGAGGGAGATGAAAGAGGCCAATGCTCAGCTTGACTCACTGCACACTGGTGTATGAATGACTCTCCTGCACGCACACACCCTCCCCGCCCCCGCGGCACACAAAGGTTAGCACACTATGGGAGAGGATGGCCACGTGTGGATACTCAGGGTAGACCATGAACTGATGGGAAGTAGTGCTGAACAGCGGTATCAACAGGCATATGCCCGAGGGAGTGTTGTTTGCTTTGAGCAGACATCCTGAAGCTTAGTGCTTCCTGACACGTCGGTGCCTCACTGTGCACCTTCCTTCCCCTCACTGCTTTTGTGCAATAGATGGAAATTAAAAAGGAAAGGGGAATGGCTTTGCAATTTGTACTGCTTTGGTGTAGGAGCCAGATGCCATCCAAGCTTCATTCTCCTGCCTACACCTCGCCCCACCCCTTCAGCGGCTCTAGAATTGGTTCTGGGGTTAGCCAGTTTAAATGGCTAATGCAACCATCGTCAGCTATAGGGACAGGAAAGTTTATTAGCTCACTGCTGATCAGACTACAGTGAGATCACCCATGAAAGACTGTCCCCATACCTCTCCCCTATTGTTTTACAGTGTGTGAGGTAACATCCCCAGATTAACCCTTTCATGCTGTTCCCCCCCCCCCCCACCCTCCCAGTGAATGCTAAAGCACTCGGAGTTGCCATTTATCAGCATGGGCTGTATACCGTACTGCAGACTCCCTTTGGGCTGAGCGTGAGCTACGACCTGGCCCACAGCCTCTTTGTCAGCCTGCCCCCAGAGTACCGAGGCCAGACCTGCGGCCTGTGTGGGAACTTCAATGGGGCCGCTCAGGACGACTTTGTGACCCATAACGGCTCCCTAGGGAAGGACGCCTTCCACTTTCCCTGGCTGTGACGATGGCTGCCGCGATTCCTGCCCTGTGTGTGAAGATGAGGAGAGTCTGGTGCAGTCCAAGTCCCAGTGCTGGGTGATCCAGGATCCTGACGGGCCGTTCTCCTCCTGCCACTCCCAGGTTGAGCCAGGCCCCTATCTGTCTGATTGCATCTTTGACCTGTGTGTGTCAGGAGGGGCTGGCAGTGCCCTGTGCGAGTCCATTCAGACATACGCAGCCGCCTGCCAGAGAGCCAACATCACCATCTCCCCTTGGAGGAGCGAGGCTTTCTGTGGTAAGCAGGGCCCAGGTTTGCATTTTACTTTTTACATTGAAAATGTCTCTGTTGTGTCTTGTTGCTGTGAATAATGTCTGATGCCACCACCTGTGGGGCCTAAGAACATGCAGTTGAAATGCTTGTTCCTCAAACCTCTGATCCAAGCCAAACCCTGAGCGAGCTTGAGCAAACTTGGGTCAGTTTCACTTGCCTGCTGCCAGCAAGAAATGGCACCAAAGCATTTGCCAGGGGAGGAGAAGAAGAAGGTGCCTCCCTCTCCCAGCATCCTAGGAGCTCAGAGTTGAGAGAGAGAAGGGAAGATGAAGCGAGAGCCCACGCCCCTTCTCCTTTCCAGCATTCTGCAAGGGAGGCTGACTCTGTATCGCTAACCCTGTCAGCAGTGGCTGCCAAAGACGGAGCCTACAAACAGTGCCCTGGAAGGAATCCCTGTCCTTTCCCACAGGTGGGGGCTGGTTTCCCACCGGTGTTGCCCTGGCATCTTACAGTGGTGAGTGGGTGAAGAATGCGATTCTTCTTTTGTACTGACCGGCTGGTTTATCTCCCTGGCTGATGGGCATCTGGCAAAGCTCTCCTGCACTGCTCTAGTGGCTTTGCTCATTGGTTTCATCTCCTGGGAACATTCTGAACTGGGCAAGGCTGCCAAGGCCCTTGATTGCCTAGTGTGAGTTTTGCGCTCCCCTGCTGGTGCCTCGTCATATCTTGTTCTGGAAACTCCAAACACCTCTCTCCATTATAAACACTGGGTCTTTTCTCTGTCTGCTCCTTTCTCTTTGCCAGACCCAGGATGCCAAGTAAACAGTCACTACAAGTTCTGCGAGCCCCCTTGCCAGGACTCCTGTGTACAAAGTGTGAGTCAGGGGCACTGCAGCCCTCTGTGCACAGAAGGCTGTTTCTGTAAGGACGGGTACCGGCGCAGCGCGGCCAGCTGCGTCCCAGAGAAGCAGTGTGGCTGTGTGCACAACGGATGGCACTACCCGGTGAGTTTCCTGGCCCAGTGCACTGAGCAGGCCTTTTGGTAGAACAGGGGCTTCCATCAGAAAATGAAGTTTCACCTTTGTTTTTTTCAAAATCAAAATGTTTTGTGTGAACAAGTCAGTTCCAGCATTGGTTACTTCATGGCTTGGCTCATTGCATTTTGACATACGTTAAACTATTTATTTGAATGCCATCATGCTCTTTTTAGTTTGGAAAAGAGAAGACTGAGAGGGGACATGAGAGCCGTTTCAAGTCTAAGTCATGGGAGGAGGTGGAATTGTTGTCCTTGGCCTCTGAGGATAGGAAAAGCAGCAATGGAGTTAAACTGCAGCAAGGGAGGTTTAGGTTGGTGTCAAGGGGTGTCCTAGTGCCCGGGGCACCTCGTGCCAATCCTCCCACAATGCAGTCCCAACTGTTAGGGCTGGTTCAGCCTCCTGGGCCTAGTCCCAAAGTTTAGTCCCCCCCACCCCTGCATTAGGATAAAGGCAGCCTCTCTGGCCTACTCCCAAACACACTTCCCCTCCCTCAGGGTATGGACCACCTTGCAGGCCTGGGAATGGAGCTGTGGGTGGTAGGGGGATCCGGGCCCTCCCACTCTACCAGGGCCTAGACCAGGACCCTGTTGGCAGTGAGGGCACATGCTGCCCGCTCAGCGGGGGTTCTGGCTGAAGCGTGCTGAGCTCCTGGAGGGAGGCCAATGACCCTGAGTCACTTCCTACCGTTCCCCATGCACACCATGTTCCTCGGAGTGTGGCTCAGCAAGCTGGTGCCTCCCAGGCGGCTTCCTGGTGGCTGCTTGGGTTGCCAGATGGTTTAACCAGAAATACTGAACACCCCCCCACACACACACACACCCCACAAAAAAAATACCGGGGAAAAAATTCTGTTGAGAAAAAAAAAGGACCCTCAAGTTGTTAAGCAAAAAAAATAATTAAACAGTGTGGGCCCCTTTAAGAAATACCTTTGAGCCTTTTTTGGCCCTAACAGGCTGCTGGTGGCCGTCTGCCATCTTGTCTCCCTACTCTGGGCTGTACAGCTCCCCTGCAGAACCAGGTAAGCACCCAGGATTTTTGCCTCCTGGCCGGGAAAAAATCAGAAAATACCAGACATTTTAGGTGTCCGCTATTTTCTGAATTTTTTTACCAGACAGGAGGCAAAAATACCAGACTGTCCAGGTCAATACCGAACTGTCTGGGTCAATACCGGACACCTGGGAACCCTAGTTGGGCTGTACAGCTCCCCTGCAGAACCAGGTAAGCACCCAGGATTTTTGCCTCCTGGCCGGGAAAAAATCAGAAAATACCAGACATTTTAGGTGTCCGCTATTTTCTGAATTTTTTTACCAGACAGGAGGCAAAAATACCAGACTGTCCAGGTCAATACCGAACTGTCTGGGTCAATACCGGACACCTGGGAACCCTAGTGGGGGTGCTGAGCTCTCCCTCCCCCCACCCGCCCTCCTCCCTCATCTTAACTGACCCGAGTAGCTCTCTTTTATCCTGGAGCAGCTGGATCATGCCCAGTACACTAAAGGGGATGTGGCCTCCCCAGCCCTCCGGGTTGGGTTAACCCCCTCCTGCACAGTGTGGCTCCCCCCGAAACACCCCGTCGCAGTTGGACATGAGGAAAAACATCCTGCCTGTCAGGGTGGTTACACTGGAATAAATTGCCTAGGGGGCTTGTGGTATCTCCATCTCTGAAGATACTGAAGAGCAGGTTAGACAGACACCTATAGACTGTGTTTGGTCCTGCCATGAGGGCAGGGGGCTGGACTTGATGACCTCTCGATGTCCCTTCCAGTCCTAGTGTTCTGTGATTCTATGATTCTATAATGTGACACAAACGTTGTATTAAATATATTACGATGTTTAGATACGATCTACACAAAATGGTTTTACCTCAGTGAAACAAAACGTTTCGGCATAAACCTGAACCAAGTTTAGCAGTGGCTCCAAGTCCATTTTTCTGGAATTTTCATTCTGTGCGGGTATGTCTACAGCCGTTATTTCGAATTAACTTTAATAGCATCTATACATGCTTTTCCTCATTGTCTCCACTTAATTCAAATTTGGTAAACCTCATTCTACGAGGACTAATGCCAAATTCTAAATAGCTGTTTTGAATTAAGTGCTGTGTAGACACTTAATTCGAAATAGGGGGCCTCCAGCCCTTCCCAGGGAGCCCTGGTGGCCACTCTGGGCACAACCAGGAAAACTTACTCTCCTCTCCCCCAGCCCTGGAGCCATTAAAGGGGTAGACCCTGGCCACAGTGCCTGTGCCAGCTCCAAGCCTGCCAGCGCAGAGCCAGCAGCAGCCACCGGGGCCCCTGACCCGGTGGCCCCAAAACATGAGCCAGTCAGCTACTGGCAGCCAGCCCTCCACCACTCCCTAGGAGTAGTCTTCCAGCTCTCAGGAGCCTGATGGGCTGGAGACAGCGGGAACCTTCCTGGTCCAGGCTGGAGATCATGGACCTCATCCAGGGTTGGGGGGGATGCCCCCAACATCCATGATCTCTGCACTAGATGGAGTAATGTGGCTGTCTATGGCAGCATAGCTGCCAGATAGCTGCCAGTCTGGCCATCAAAGGCCACATGTGAACCCAGGAGCAGGTTTGCATGAAAATCAAGTTGGTCCGGTGAGACCCCCAACCCTGCGCCTTGAGCTTCCCCTTCCCCTTGCTTCCCCCTTCCAGCTCCCTCCTCCCAGGTTTCCCCCTCTCCTCTCCCACCCTCTCTTCCTGTCTCCCACCTTTTTCCAGTCTCCACACAGGTTCATCCCCCCCCTCCAGTTTTGTTCAAATAAACCCAGTTTCTATTTTTGAACATATGTGTCTTTTGTTTGACATCAGGAAGGGGGGCTAGGGAGGGGTAAGTGGAAGGACGTGATGGAGGAATGGAGCATGAGCCCCTGGCAGGGAGGACTGGGGTCATAGGTGTGCACACGGGGTGTGCTGGGTGTGCCCAGACACACCATAGCGTCTGAGGCCAGCCAGCAGCTGCTGGAGGAAGAGGGGGATTTGCGATGGAGCACCACAGACCCTCACTTTAAATTCCCCGCAGCCATCTACTGGGCACTGTGGGGCAGAGAGTGTGCATGTGCAGTGTCCTCAAATGCTGCACAACAGCTGAGAGGGGAAATGCCGGGAACTTTAAAACCCAGCAGCCCAGCTCCAAAAGCAGCTGGGGCCCGACTACAGACGGCGGCCCAAGCCATTTTTGCGGCCCGGGCCCCGCCCCAGGAACTTTAAAACCCAGCAGCCCAGCTCCAAAAGCAGCTGGGGCCCGACTACAGACAGCAGCACAAGCCATTTTTGCGGCCTGGGCCCTGCCCTACAGCACCGCGTGGTGCCCTGGGGGCGCCCCCGCCTGTCCTGGCAGCACCCAGCCCAGTAGCACCACGTGGCACCCCGGGGGTGCCCCTCCCTGGCCCTGAAGCTTGGGCTGGCTCTCACTCCAGCCCTGCAAGCTGTAAGGCAGAAGCTGAAGGTAAGGAAAGCAGCACAAGCCATTTTTGCGGCCTGGGCCCTGCCCTACAGCACCGCGTGGTGCCCTGGGGGCGCCCCCGCCTGTCCTGGCAGCACCCAGCCCAGTAGCACCACGTGGCACCCCGGGGGTGCCCCTCCCTGGCCCTGAAGCTTGGGCTGGCTCTCACTCCAGCCCTGCAAGCTGTAAGGCAGAAGCTGAAGGTAAGGAAGTAGGGAGAAATAAGAGGAAGGGTTCAGAGAGAAAGGGGCTTTTGCGGTGGGGGAGGGTGGAGGAGGAATTAAGGGGAAGAGGTGGAAGGGGCTTGTACAGAGGGGGAGGGGAGAGGAGGAAGAAAGAGGAAGGCACCAAAGGGACAGGGTAGAGGAGACACAAATGCTAGGGGCGAAGTGGAGACAATGAGGAAAAGGGCAGAGGGGAGGTGTCAGTGGGAGGGGGGACAGGATGATGCTGGAAGAGGAGAGGGGAAGGGCATTGGGGATTGGAGGGGGAGGTGCTGGGAGAAGGCTTGACAGAAGGTGGGCATGAGGAAGGTGGGGTTGGAGCAAGTCATGTGTGAGGGCACAGAGGGGCATGAGGAGAATGGGGGCAGAGGATGGTGAGGGGGTGGGCATCAGGGAAAAGAGGGCTAAGGGGGCAGGGGCAGTGAGGAAAGGGGGAGGCACCAGGAGGGTGCAGGGGTAAGGGAAGGTGTAGGTGCCAGGGGATTCTGGGAGTGAAGTAGAAGGGCAGACGCCTGCAGGGGAGGGACCAGGAGAGAGGCGAGGGAGGTGTTAGATGACGGGATGAGGAGGGGTAGCTCACATGATCAGAGTGGGGCT